CACCGTGTCGGCCTCGGATCCGGACCTGAGGGAAAACGCCTTTGTGAGCTATTCGGTGGTAGAGCGGAGTGTGGGAGAGCAGCCCCTGTCCAGCTACATCTCGGTGCACTCGGAGAGCGGGCACATCTATGCCCTGCAGCCCTTTGACTACGAGGAGCTGCAAGTGCTGCAGTTCCAGGTGAGCGCGAGGGACGCCGGGTTCCCGTCGTTGTGCGGGAACGTGACTGTGCAGCTCTTTGTCCTGGATGAAAATGACAACGCGCCCGCAGTGTCCCTGGCTGGCTCAGGCCGCGGCTCGCCAGGGCCCGAGCTGGTTCCGCTGTCGGCCGGCGCAGGGCACGTGGTGGGCAAGATCCGAGCGGTGGATGCGGATTCCGGCTACAACGCGTGGCTTCGCTACGAAGTGCAGGAGCCCAGGGCTGCGGGGCCTTTCCGGGTGGGTGTGTACAGCGGGGAGATCAGCACCACGCGGGCCTTGGAGGAGGCGGACGGCCCCAGCCAGAGACTCGTGATCCTGGTGAAGGACCATGGGGAGCCGGCGCTGTCAGCGACAGCCACTGTCAGCCTGTCCCTGGTGGAGAGTCCCCAGGCTGTGAAATGGGACTCGAGGCAAAGGGGCAGGAGCGAAGGGCCCTTGGTTGACATGAACGTGTCTTTAATGATCGGCATTTGCTCGGTGTCCGGGCTGTTTGTGCTGGTGATTGTCGTGTACGTTGGCCTGAGATGCCACCCGGGTCCGGAAGTGATGTGCGGGTCTGGGAAAGCCACCGTGGTGTGCTCGAGCGAAGTGGGGAGTTGGTCCTATTCCCAGCGCCAGAGCCGGAATTTGTGTGTAGGGGAAGGCACCGCCAAGAATGACCTCATGGTTTTCAGCCCCAACTTTCCTAACTCGCGGGAGAATGGAGAGGCAGGGAAGGGGCAATTGCTTACACCAAATGCATCAGGAATGGTGAGTCATTGGAGTCAGTCCTGATCTCTAAGGAAGGCTTATTTATTTATTTCCCAATTGAATATGTTCTTATGCATTTAATTCCTCAGAATAGGCAGAATTCTAGAAAATCAATGGCTAAATTTGAGCGGAGGTATAGCTCAGTGGTTTGAGCATTGGCTTGCTAAACCCTGAGTTCTGAGTTCAATTCTTGAGGGTGCCGATTTGGGGCAAAATCAGTTCTTGGTCCAGCTAGTGAAGGAAGTAGGCTGGACCTGCTGACGTTTCAGGGTCCCTTCTAGTTCTATCAGATATGTATATCTCCATATAAAAAAAACTTTCTCGTATAAGATAAAGGGAATTACACCAAGCATAACTCACCCAATGAATTTTGCTACAACCGGACATGATCCTTAATTTCAGCTGTTTAATATGTAATAGTCAAATCCATTATTTTTTCTATGTCAGGAGTTGGATACATATTTTGTGATGAAAAATGAGGATACCTATATGCTATTTGTGATTCCACAATTTAACAAATGTGACTAACTCAAGCTCTGCATGTTCCATTGGTAGAATTGAAATACTTTTTTGGGGGGTGGTTAAATTGCTGAAATTTGTGAATACAGTTGGAAGTATCAATACTTGAGGAATGGGTTATCATTTAAACTGAGAGTAGTTTAAGCCCAGTGTCAAGGCTGATTCCCAACTCTGGCACTTTGAGTGCAGAAGGTGGGGGCCCGCAAGGATTCTAAAAATTAATACTGGCCACTCCTGGCTTGTATTAAACTCCTAAAGTTACAGCTTTTCTCTGACCTTGGATGGGTAGATGTTGCCACCACCCAAGTGCAAAAACCCCTTTGAGAACCCAGGAAGGCGCCCTTGGGAATTTCTTCCTGTGGGATACCTTCAAGCCCTTTCTCCACCGCCAGGGAAGAGCTGAGAAAGAAAACAGAGGAAATCAGCTGTTGCCCCATATAATTAAACAACATGTGCACAAACTCTTAGGACACAAAACCCAATCATTTTCTTAAAAAAAGGTAAATGTTATTAAAAACAAAAAGAAAGAAATACTTTTGAAACTCAGGCTATTGCTAGATTTAAAAAACCCACTTACAATAATTAAGCATCAAGAATAACCTTCCTGAGGTAAAGTTTAAAGGTTACAAGCAAAACAAAAGCATTTGGGGTTAGCACAGAGGAGTCCACAAGCCATAAAGAAATAAAAGCAATAAACCTAATTGCGTCTTTCTAGACATTTCCGGATCTACTTACATATCTGGGGTTGTAAATGAGTAGTTTCTAGGTATGATTCTGATGATTTTTTCATACCCGGACCCAAGCTTTTTACGGCATAGTCTCTGTCCCTTCTCTCTGGGAGAACAACACAGACAGACAAAAGTGGGGTCTTGTTTCAATTTTAAAAAGTTCTAGCCTTCCCTTTGGCTCCCAATGGGGCTCACTACAGCTTTGCTGTGCTAACCAGAATGGATTATGCTTTAACCTTCATTTCTCTATGCTAGCCTAAGGACTTTCTATGCTGTATCCAGCTGACTAAGAAACCTGCTGTTTTGACAATGCTGTATGAGTATCACTGCAAATGCTTGTTGAGGTGCATTCATAGCTAAGAGTGTACAAGTCTCCATCAGAGGTGTGTCTCAGTGGGACTCACTGAGCAGCGCTCATGGTGTGAAGCAGGACTGCTGCAGGCCCAGAGATCCAGTCTAAGGAGATGGTGAAGCCGCATGGCATAACTTGGAGGAAGTGTGAAACCCCTAGGGAGTCTAGCACACTGAAGGGGTTCCTTCTAGAGACTATTACAAAGTTGGGGCCATAGTCCTGATCCTGTGGATCTGTGACACCTCCATAGTAAGAAAGTTACACATTTTTATGCAGAGTATTTTAGAATTACACAGTATTTATTGAGATTGAGGGTTAATCACATACAAAGTATACAATGGTCATATTAAAAAGAGAAGTGTTTGCATTGCTACATTGGTTATGGAAAAAGAGTGGATATTATAAGTTTTCTGCAAACTGTGTGAGAATTCCCTTTGAGGGCTTGAGTTTACTGGCACTTCATGAAATTTGTTTTCATTAAGAACATGCCTGGGATGTACCAGTTTGATGTAACTTTAAAATAAAAGATTACTTGCAAACCCAAGAAATTTTGGCTTTTGGATAGTCCCAGGAGCATAGTAAAAGTTGTAATTTAAAAAAGTCTCTGACAGAATTGGTTTTGTAAATAGTAGATTTTGGAATTCTGCAGTTGTATAAGAAAAAAGGAAGGAATCTCCACTGCCAAACTGACATTTCTCAGCATTCTTTATGGGCCAGATTTCCTTCCCTGCTTACACTAATCAGCAGTTACTCCCAGTAGTCCTTCCACTGACTGTTGTGACTGCCCCTGTGAGTAATTACACTGCTCACACAGGTGAGCAAATGGGTCACAGTCAGGTCTTATAATTGTTGTCCTCAAAAAGTAGGGGTCAGACTGCAAGAACATTACTCACAGTGAGTAGTAACCTACCCTTTGAGTCAGGGATTTGGAGCAATCAAATTTTTGAATTGCTCCGCTCCAGCTCTGCTCCGACACCAATAGTGACTGCTCTGGCTCCGCTCCAGCTCCGGGCAAAAACCTGCAGCTCCACTGCTCCGTGCTCCAGCTCCACGGTCCGCTCCAAAGCCCTGCTCTGAGTAGGTCCTTTGAAATAAAGATGTCAGAATCTGATGCTAAAGAAATTACTAATGCTATTGTGTCAAACAATTTTCTAGTGAATGGGAATTTTGTCATGGATAATGGAAACAGTCTTAGGACCATGGATGGAGCACAAATGGAGTTTTTCAGAGTGAAGAAGGAGTTCCCCCACCAGTGAAGGTGGGGCATATAATTCAGAACATGAATGATTGGTCCAAAATGTGAATTATTAACTTGGTGTCATCCCAAATACAATCAAACACAGGAGGGAAAAGAGAAAGTGTCCCAGAGAGGGATTGTTGAAGAAGTACTGAGGCGGAGTAATAAGTATCCATGCCCAAGACATAAATTTTGTAGAAGAAGGAGGAATGAGATCAAAACAAAAGAAAAAGCAATCAAATCAGAGTTAATGATAATAGTAGACAGGAACCAAGACTAGCTGTCTAACCATGCTATCCAAAGAAGCTATTAAAAAAGATATCACCAGTTTTTTAATCACAACTTTGAAAGAAAAGCAATTCAGGGTATTTAACAACAGAAACCAGAGTGTATCTAGAAATGGCATTTTAACATAAGCAGCCAGAATACCGACCACCCAGAGACATAATTACCAAGGAAGAACTGTTTCCTTGTGCTTAACTTGCACTGTCTAGTTAGTATCTGGCTGGCTGGCTGATTCATTGCTGTCATTCTTGATGTCTGAGGGTCTGATCCAAAGTCCTTTGAAATAAGTGGAAAGGTTTCTACTGACTATGGGCATGTCTTCACTATGAAATTAGGTCAATTTTATAGTTGATCTTTAGTAACCGATTTTATACAGTCAGTTGTGCATGTCCCCAGTAAGCACATTAGGTCAGCGGAGTGCTTCCTCAATATTGTGACTAGCATTGACTCACGGAGTGGTGTACTGTGGGTAGCTATCCCACAGTCCCCGCTGCCCATTGGAATTCTGGGTTAAGCTCCCAATGCCTGATGGGGCAAAAACATTGTTGCAAGTGGTTTTGGGTACATGTCGTCAGTCGCCCCTTCCTCCCTCTCTCCTTGAAAGCAATGGTAAACAATCATTTCACGCCTTTTTCCCTGGGTTATCCATGCAGATGCCATAGCAAGGCAAGCATGGAGCCCGCTCAGCTGCACACTGCTTTTGTGAGCGTTGCAAACACCTCACGCATTATCCTGCAGTATGTGCAGAGCCTAGCTAGGAGCCGCCAGCATGAGGAAGATTGTGAGGAGGACAGGGACACAGACGTTCCTGAAAGCATGGGATGTGGCAATTGGGATATCATGGCGGCACTGGGGCATGTTGATACAGTGAAACACCGATTCTGGACCTGGCAAACAAGCACAGACTAGTGGGACCGCATAGTGTTGCAGGTATGGGATGAATCCCAGTGGCTACGAAACTTTCGCATGTGTAAGGCCACTTTCATGGAACTTTGTGAGTTGCTTTCCCCTTCCCTGAAGCGCAGGAATACCAAGATAAGACCTGCCCTGGCAATTGAGAAGTGAGTGGCGATAGCCCTGTGGAAGCTTGCAATGCCTGACTGCTACCAGTCAGTCGGAAATCAATTTGGAGTGGGCAAATCTACCATGGGGGCTGCTGTGATCCAAGTAGCCAAGGCAATCAATAACATTTTGCTAACAAGGGTGGTGGGGGAGGGATAGCTCAGTGATTTGAGCATTGGCCTGCTAAACCCAGGGTTGTGAGTTCAATCCTTGAGGGGGCCATTTAGGGACCTGGGGTAAAAATCTGTCTGGGGATTAGTCCTGCTTTGAGCAGGGGGTTTGACTAGATGATCTCCTGAGGTCCCTTCCAAACCTAATATTCTATGACTCTGGGAAAAGTGCAGGTCATAGTGGATGGCTTTCCTGCAATGGGGTTCCCTAAATGTGGTGGGGCAATAGACAGAACACATATCCCTATCTTGGCACCAGACCACCTTGCCAAAGAGTACACAAGCCGCAAGGGGTACTTCTCAATGGTGCTGCAAGCACTGGTGGATCACAAGGGCTGTTTCATCAACATCAACATGGGATGATCAGGAAAGTGCATGATGCTCGCATCTTTCAGAACTCCAGGCTGTTTGGAAAGCTGCAAGAAGCAACTTTCTTCCCAGACCAGAAAATTACTGTTGGGGCTGTTGAAATGCCAATAGTTATCCTTGGGGACCCAGCCTACCCCTTGCTCCCATGGCTCATGAAGCCATACACAGGCAGCCTGGACAGCAGTAAGGGGCAGTTCAACTATAGGCTGAGCAAGTGCAGAATGGTGGTAGAATGTGCCTTTGGACATTTAAAAGGGCACTGGCACTGTTTGCTGAGTAGGTTAGATGGCAGTGAAAGCAATATTCCCATTGTTATTGCTGCTTGCTGTGTGCTCCAAAATATCTGTGAGAGTAAGGTGGGAGGTTGAGGCAGATTGCTTGGTGGCCAATTTTGAACAGCCAGACACCATGGCAATTAGAAGAGCACACCGAGGCACACTGCACATCAGAGAGGCTTTGAAAAACAGTTTCATGACTGACCAGGCTACGGTGTGACAGTTGTGTGTGTTTGTCCTTGATACAAAGCCTTCTCCTTTGATGAATATACTTCCTTGTAAGCCAGTCCCCCTTCCACCTTCAACCACAGCTGGCACAAGAAATAAAGTCCCAATGGTTCTGAATCCATTCATTCTTTATTAAAAAAACTTGAGATCATTGACAACGCTGACTAGTAAAAGGAAGTGTGGGTGTACAAAGGGTTTGATAAAGAGGTGGGGTGGGGGAGGAGGGAAGGACAAGGCCACATTGCTTATTGTAGCCACACTACAAGTCAAAGCTGTTTGAATAACAGCCTTCTGTTGCTTGGA